GTACACACATTAAGTTCCTCAGTTTGCTCTTGAGAGTTGCTCTTTCTCTATAACATATGGGCAAATCCTAGTCTATCAGTAAAAAAATAAAAATAATAAATAAATAAAAATCTTCCTAAATTTTTTATTTCAAAAACCTGGCTTACTTAACAGAAGTGAAAAGTGAAGTGAAACTAGGATCAAATAGGTAGAAACATACTCAAATCATTCACAGTTGCTTCCACTTGTATTGTCTCTACAGTTCACTTGTATAAATCACTGTTTCTCCAGTTTTTATTTGACTGAAACAATAATTAAATGAAACTTCATTTTCTTAATTCCATTCTAACAATGTCACTTAAAGAATGAAGTTTTCTGTTGGTTATCAGACTTAGACTCACCAGAAGTGCACCCACAGAAAAGTCACTTAACTTTTCTGAGGCCCAATTTTTCTTATCTGTAAAAATGATTTTAATGATAGTAGCTATAAGATTGCTCTTAGAACCATGTGACTGTACTGTGCACAAAACAATAAGCTACTCAAATAGAAATAACAATTACTATTTTTCTAGCTTTGTAAGCTTGTTTCATCAAATTGAAGGACATTCTCCTATTTCTTATATATAAACTGAATAAATTTCCCCACATGGGATATAGAAAAATGATACCAGTGACCTGTAAATAAAGAATGTGTTTTCCATGGTTTCTCCATTCTTGGAATTGTGGTCATTCAAGCATACTCTGCTCATCCCTGTTTGCCTTGTGACCAAGCACATACATTTTTGAGAGAATCTCAAAATGTCAGGGAGAGAATCCCTGGGTAGAAAATTATTATAGCAAGGAGATACAATGCATTATCTACATGTTTGTGATAATCCTGGTGAAAATAAAACTAAAATGCTGCCAGTTGTATAAAAGTATAGTGCCTACATTAGGTATGGTACATAATATTTGGTAGTGATAAGTGACCATGTTACTGGTTTATATATTTACTACATTTTGATTTTTATCATTATTTATTGTACATTCCTTCTATTTATTAAAAGAAATCTACTTTAAAATAGTATGCCATGTTAATGTGAGCAGCAGCCTCAAAGTATGCTACTTTCATTTTATGATTATTATTAAATGAATAAATCAATACTTAATTGTTTTTACATTTCATTTCTAATAAAGTAGATATCACCAGACATAATCTATATAAACAAAAATTCTTGGGAGTCCTCATAACCTTCTAAGAATGCTAACTGGTCCTGAGATCAAGTTTGAGAAACATTGGTACAGTTCAACTAACCAACCTGGGCAGCATTACTAAGCAACCCTGTGATTTCCTCCACCACAACCATCAACTAAATTTTCATGCATAGAAACTTCCTTATTCATTCTTTCTACCATTCTTCCTACTTATCTTTCTTTCTTCTTTTCTTGCATTAATTTTATTGAGGAAATGAGTGAGCAAATATTATTGGCCCAACTCCTGTGATAAGTTTTGATGTATAAAAATATCACAGTCCCACCATCAAGGAGCATGAAGCCCAGTGGAAAAGTCAATCACATAACTATAATGAATTGTGAACACAGGAACATGAGGTCACAGCAGAGGGAGTTTTGATACCTGCCTAGAAGACAAAGACAGAAACACTGCCAAGGTAGTTCAGTATGTGGGATATCACAATACCTGAAGAAATGTCCAGTCGCCTTTGTCATACTTGTGGATCAACCCATAATATTAGTCAGGAATCTCTCTCTACCTCACTGTTGCTCCCATAGGCGTCTACTGTTTCCACTTCTCTTCAAAATGGTCCTGTTGTGAGAGTGCCATTTCCTGACAGCATGACTTCAAGATCCATCTTAGCTTTCTAGATCAGGCCAATTAATAAGTCAGCTCCTTCATGAACAATCTTTACAGCAGTGTTTCCTGCAGCAGTTTCTGAGAATGTATCAGAGTTGTTTTTCTGAGTTTCTTTCTAAGTTTCTTTTCTTTCTTCTTCACTGGTGTCAGACCTACTGAGGCTTCCTCTTTTTATTCTTCTTTTTCCCTCCTCACTTTTGCTTTCACAGTCATTAGACTCTAATAAATTCTTTGAGACTCGATTTTATTTTTTTAGGGATAAAATACAAATTATGTAACATCTTCGTTGTAGAATTGTGTGATAATTAAATGGGATAATGTATATTAGTTTGACAATGTGAAATGCTAAATAAATAAATTGATTATTATTTTTATTTATTTATTTAATTTTGGTTCTAGGGATTGAACTCAGGGGCACTTGACCACTGAACCACACCCCTAGCCCTATTTTGCATTTTATTTAGAGACAAGATTTCACTGAGTTGCTTAGTGTCTTGCTTTTTGCTAAACCTGGCTTTGAACTCCTCCTCTCTCAGCTTCCCAAGCTGCTAAAATTGATTATTATTACTACCAATGCCAGAAATGTACATGATATAAAATATCATTGCACAATATTAATATGTCAAGTTTTTCATCTAAGCGCTCTCTCTCTCTCTCTCTCTCTCTCTCTCTCTCTCCACACACAAACACACACACACACACACACACACACATATAAGTACCAAGTATTGAACTCAGGGGCACTTAACCACTGAGCTACATCCCCAGCCCTTCTTTATATTTTATTTTGCCACAGGGTCTGACTGAGTTGCTGCTTAGGGCCTCCCTAAGTTTCGATTCTCCTGCCTCAACCTCCCAAGCCTGGGATTACAGGCATGTGCCACCATGCCCAACCCTTTTTTTTTTTATATATTGACATGCATTCTAATATGGTAGTTTTCATATCTATTCATGAGGCAAAAAACATGGAAATCATGATGCTCTTAGCCAAATACCATTAAGTACTGATCACTTGTAACCATTATATTATTAATTCAGAAAATATTTGAGCACTCCTTGTATTCTAGGAAATATTTAGGGTACTAGGATTACAAAAAAACAGTATTTGGAATCTAGTGGTTTAACTAATAACGAAAATTTCTCTAATAGAAATGCATACAGTGATCTATATTACTCATATAGAGACATCTATATTAACTCACTTAGTCTTTTCAAAACCAGATGAAGTAGTCACAGGAGATATAATTATGTACACTTAAAAGACAAAAAACCAAGGCACTAAAAGAAGAAAAACAACTTAGGTCAAGATTAAGCAGCTGCTGAGTGTCAGACTTCAAGTGTGAGTCCCAATGAGTCCTTACCAATTATTCCTAAACCAGTAATTCTCAAACTTTAGTTTGTATCCTGTCGAAGTGGGTTTTTAAAACACAAATTGCTGGGACCTCCCAGACATTTTCTTTGTTGGTAGGTATGGGGTGGGTCTAGGGAATTTGCATTTCTAACAAATTCCAAAGAGATCCCAATGTTTCTGGTCCTGGGACTACAAGAACCACTGCTAAGCAATGCTGCCTTTGTGAAACCTACTTACAATTACATTAACCTAGCAGCAAATCAGTTTTGCATATAAAAACATTTTATTTCATATAATTTAACATACACTGAATTCATGGGAATGTAACTTGCAGATACCTAATTCAAGTTTTTTCCTGAATTTCATTAAGTGGCAATATGCCATTCAGCAAGTGACTCAGTTGTCCATTGCTCAGTTTTAAAATGAATCTTAGATTGAGAGGTCTCCAAGATCCCTTTCTACTTGTTCTTCATTGCATAAAGGCTGTTTTAAAATTTCTTCACAATTAAGTATAATATTCTAATTACGTGTATCAAAAGGGAGTCAAAGTATGAGAAACTTTAGCCCAAGGCTTTTAAAGTTTAGTTTTCCTGTCCTTGCATGTTTCTTTTCTACTTTTTATATTTCTTCTGGCTACCTCATAAGGGTTGGCCACACCCTGGCCCTTGTAGTTTTGGTATTAAAAAAGCACTTTCACCTATGAGCTTTCCAGGGCAACTACTTTTTGGGTTTCAGGCTTACAAATAAAGATAACATTTCACATTCAAGAACACTTCCCTGGTGGTTTTAAACAAGATTCCAGGGAGATATAAATGAATGATTTGGATTTGCTACCTTGGAAGGTTTATAATCTGATGGAAAAGTGGCTATATGAATATTCTGTAATGGGTACAAGAATGCATGCAACTGAGAGGGCAGGGACACTCAAGTATGTCTGGTTCATCACAGTGTCCACAGGGTCTGACACCTCTGAGGCTCAGTGGAGGAAAGGAGCTCAATTACCCATTGCAGCCAGGAGAGTCAGAGAAGCTCTCACACAGGGGAGAACAAGGAGGCACCTGAAAATAGGGATACCTAACAAATGACCATCAGATTGGCACACCAGAGTCCAGAATGGGGCAGGACATCAGTTTCCTTCCTCATCCTGGGCAAGCTACTTCCTTTTTCTGGCCCTCCAGCTTTTCATCTGTAATGTAGTAGAAGTTGAGCAATATAATCTCTGATCCCCTTGTGTAACTAAATCCAGTTAAACTGGGGGGGGGGCGGGGCGGGTACTTAACGCTCAAATTTGCACTATAGTTGAATTCTCCCTTAGGCAAATAGACAAATATCATCAACAGGAGACCAAAGAAAATCAAGAGAATAGAAAAAGAAGTGAGAACTGGAAAAGGGAAGAAAGAGGAGTTTTCAAACAGAGTGCTGAAGTTTTTCGGAGGGGAAAAAGTATATAGCTGATAAACAGGCAACTAGACCTCAGATTAAGAGAGGGAAAGTAAGCCAAAGAGAACTCCACTCCTCCCAGCTCTTCTCTCTGGGCCTCCTCTCACCTTCTGTCTCCCCGCCCAGACTAGGTCCTATTTAAGTCACCGATTGTGCAAAAATCTGAAACGTCCGTCAGCATTTGTTTTTCTGGTTTGGCGTCCAGAGGCAGCCAGGTGAGGACCTGCGCCTTCGGCGGCGAACCCCACCTGAGAAAGGTGGCCCCGCCCCCC